TTTTCTGCAGCCGCGGGAGCGATTGGAAGGGAGCCCGTGGAAAGCAGCTCGCGTTCCCGGCCGCTTAGAGCACAGCACGTGTCCCCGTGAATCAGCGCCGAGGGCACGGGCGTGCTCCACGCGGGCTCTTTGCCTGCAAACCCGGCTTGTTTCCCAGTGAGTCATAGCCAGTGGGCCCGAGACGCCATGGTGAGCGAGCAGAAAGCCTTAGTCACATCTAAGAAAAGGCAAAAAGGGTTGAAAAGCTGCTTTTCGGCTTCTCCTCTGGGTCTTGAACTTTTGCACCAGGCAGAGGGAGCGTTTCCAAGCGCTATGCCATGGCCGTGTGGGCTGGAAATACATTGCCTTGGGGGCTTTTCCCGGAGCTAAACAACCTGAATTTGGGATGTGGAGCTTGATGTTGAGGCAAGCTCCCCAAAAACGGGAGAAACGCCAGCCGGCGGCAAGGAAGCGGCGTTCACGTGGGGCCCGAGGGCTGCGAGCGGGCACAGGAGCCTGCGCGGGTCTGCGAGGTGAAATGGGCTCCCACAGGGCATTCCCGGACCCAGCCGGCTCGTGGGCGCTGGTTTTCCGCCGTTGCCCGAGGACTGCAAGCAGAGCCAGCGTCCTGAACCCTGTCACCGGCACGGCCCCAAACCAGCCCACAGCCCCGAAGCACCCCCATACCCTAATCGCCCCATGTCCCCAGGGCAACCCTCATCCCCTAGGCACCCCCCATACCCAGGACATCCTTTGCCACCTCACATATCCAGGGCACCCCACGTCCTCACAGCACCCCCATCCTTAGGCTACCCCATGTCCCCAGGCCACCCTGCGTCCCCAAGGCATGCCCATAGCCCAACAACCCCCAGGCCCACATCCCAGGCCACCCCTGCCCTGTACCGCTCTGGTCCCAGGCCGGTCATGTCCCCATAACATACCATGTCCCCAGGCCACCCTTATCCCCGGGCCCCTCTGTGTTGCCACGCCAGCCTGCATCCCCACAGCACCCTGCCTTGAAGGAAAGCCCTTGGAGCAGAGGGCGAAGAAGCCCTCCAGCACATTCGCATCTTGCAGCCTCACCTTGAAGGCTTGGGGAAAACCCACAGCCCAAAATTCTGCCCCTTCTTTACACCAATAATGAATAAAGATTAATAAGAATTAATAACAATCCATCGCCTTGTGAAACCCAGCTGTCCCATGCCCCTGCAGGCCTGCAGTGAGCCCCCTGCCCTATGCAATGGGACCTTGCCTATTGCCTATTGCCCACTGCCCAGAGCCCCAATGCATTGTCCTGGAGCGTTGCCTCGGTGCCTGGGTGCATGGTGCTGGTGCATTGCCCAAGTGCCCCCGTGCATTGTCCTAGTGCATTGCTGTGGTGCATTGCCTCGGTGCCCCAGTACACTGTCCCAGTGCATTGCCCCGGTGCCCCAGTGCATTGACCTGCTGCATTCTCCCACTGCCCTGGTGCCCCGGTGCACGGTGCCGGTGCATTGTCCCAGGGCCTCGGTGCATTACCCACCCGGTGCATTGCCCTGCTGCATTGCCCCAGCGCCTCGCCCCAGTGCCCCGGTGCATGGTGCTGGTGCAGTGCCCCAGGGCCTCGGTGCATTAACCCGGTGCATCGCCCCGGCGCCTCGCCGCGGTGCAACACCGCCCCGCGCGCCGCCTCCTCGA